AGAGATAGGTACCAGAATGGAAATGGAAAGAGAACATGGGAATGCGTCCAGTATCCTGGGGATCTGATGGTGCTTCCTGACATGTGGGGTCATGCCGTCATTAATTTGCAGGAGAGTGTGGGCGTGGCTTCGGAGTTTGTGTATGGATCCAGTGAATTTTCGTTATAAAATTATTATTATTATTATATAGTTATTTTTAAAATTATTCTTATTATGGTATGATTGCAGTTTATTACAGGCACTTCTCATTTTAATCAGCTATGAAATTATTATTATTATTATTATTATTAACAATTATAATATTAAAATCATTAATAACTATAATACTACATGTACCTTAAGCCTACTATTATTTGTGTCTACTAATTTTAGCGAAATCAGCAAAAGTCATGTTTAGCGCTACTAATTTTAGCGTTTTTAACCAAATTAACTATCAATAATAACCATTGTAATGAATAATTATTATTTTGGCGTCTATTTAATTTAGCGGTTTAAAGCTCTCTCGCTAATATAGCTAAATTTAGTAGACGCTAATAATAGTAGGCTTAAGGTATATCATGCAGCATTGATGCAACATAATGGCTCAGTCTAATCGTCACTGTAATAAATTTTGACAATATAATGATGATAAATATATAATAATTATTACAACAACAATTTGAAATAAAATTTATAATATTAAATTTTACATTAATTTGAGTATCATAATACAAGCATTCTGTGTGTGAAAGGTGAATGGTGTTCTTATTCACTGCTACTGCTGCCAGATGAAGAGGAATCAGTACTATCATCTTCAGATTCATCATTATTGTCTTCTTCTTCAGATTCTAATAATAATAATAATAATAATAATAATAATAATAATAATACCCTACAAGATGATTTATTGGCGAGAGTAAGTTTTGGCGAATTTGCCTGTGGAAGTTAATTGGTGCATTTGGTGGATTTTATACTGGAAATTTTGTGCCACATACCTTTGAGCATGCGCAGATTTTATATTGGCAACTTCTTCATAGAACCGCCGATCACCAATATTATTTCCTTGCCAATAAATCATCTTATATGTAGTGATGGGCGATATATCGATTCTTTATCGATATAAACGATATTTTACGGAATCGATTTGAATCATTATCGAAAATTTTATGCTATTTTCATCGATCTATTGACCACGCCCATTTATTAAGGTTAAATAA